TCATCTGTTAGAGTGAATGGTCCTGGGCATTGATGAGTAAGTCAGGGTGTTAACCTCCAATATCCGAGCTAAAAACGCTGCACTTATCAATACAATCTGCTCTCTTCCAATTATTGCTATGCACAGTGCTGTGCTGGAAACATCACTTTTATTGAAATCAATGCCTTGTACACTTCAGTGAATGGACAAAAAAATGTAGTTCAGATGACACATAAATTGTCACCTTTCAACCTTTTTTTGTGGGGATCTCTCTATTTTAAACTTTAAGGTCACACACATGCACACAGTGATGCATCCGAACATTGGGGGAAAATAATTTCTAAGCTTTTTTCATTTGCCTTTGTGCTGCCATGGAAAAGCCAGCATTTTTGTTAGATTGATATACGAGCATGTCATTGGGACGCATTGTCTTTCTTTGTTGTGTGGGCTGAGAGCGGAGATTGCTGCTCCGCCTGTCATAGAAGAGTCGTTTTTAAATCCCCACGACTGTACGTGCTCCAGTGGCTGCTTTATTTTTCAGTCTGTATTGGCGCTGCAGTTGATTGTCGAATCAAATGAATTCCAAAGTGTTTCTACGCTCAGATTAGCAATGGGGGTGGCATTTATTTTCCATTGGCAGTGCTGAGCCAGTGGTACACATAGCACGTTTCGTTGGTGGGGCCCAGTCGATACAAAGGACAACTGTTGGCTTATCACTGATACTCATTAAAAGCTGAACGCGCTACAGGCTGAGTTGATCCATGACCAGCATCTCATTTGTGAGAATTGAAGTCGTTTGAGGTAAATGTAAGTGATCGCCATCATCAGCAGCCATTAACAATCCACTGCTGGATAAAGGACTTCCCATGCCATCGCCATCCCTCGCGGGCCTGTGATACCCCACGATCCATGCAACTGCTACACATGAAGCAATCTCCACGGCGGTCATCCTCTCAAGAACTTTCTCGCTATTGGCTGCCATTCCATCCGTCAGCAAACCCTTCGAGCCCATTTGCAATTCGTGGCGGTAAATGTGATCTCTCGTGAATTGTGTTTATTGGTCCATGTGCAACTTTTTTGTCTCCGTAGAAAGCCCAGTGTGCACCACTCTATGCTTCGTTGAGCACCTTTTAGCTTTATTTCAATTTTGTCAGGGTCCGTGTTTCTGATCTATTGTCATAAAAAAACCCTCAACACATTTGTCTAACAATGTCACCTTATAAAGTAAAATTTATAATAGGTGAACTTTTGTGCAATGGTCTTCATAGCATGCATACATAAATATGTCACAGTGGGAAATACACAGTGATAAAACAAAGTTATGATTTAGCCAAATTGGTATGTTTCTTGACATTATCACATTAAGTTTCCCAAGCACACTACATTCTGCTCTTGGTATTGTTATTTCATCATTTTGATCCCGAAGCACCTTCAATATTTGCCCAAGGTACGCTTGGCTGTGTACGGTGCGAAAGAACTTCACGATACATACGTATACTACTGTGTTTTTCACTTGTAAATGTCATACTGTCATGTCTTCACTAACGAGGGCATTGTTCTTCAGGATAAACCCCCATGGTTCTGTGTGTGAATGTGAAGATGATAATTTAAATAAGTGACAGTCATTTTAAAAAAATTCACATTTAAACTACCATATTGACAATTGACTGTCAATTCGCGTGAAATCATTTAATTTTCTTTTGGAGAGAAATGGGAATGTGGAATTGTAACCACTTGCTTAGATTGCTGCAGTGGCGAGATATTATCTCCCTCACCTGCTTTGCAGGAGGGTGTGGGTTCGATCCCGACCCTTGAGGCCTGTATATTTGGAGTTTGCTTGTTCTCCCTGTGGTCACGTGGATTTTTCTCCCGAGTCGTCTGGTTTTTCCCCTCCACATTTAGAATGAATATTACGCGTTTAGAGTATTTGGCTGATATGAATTGACACACGATGAGCCACTTTGTTGAGCTATCATTTGTCGCCACGTCGACTCTGAAAAAAGAGCTAGAAAGCGCAGTGGTGCCTTACCTGGTAAAATAAAAATAGTTTATAGTTTAGGGCTGCCAACAGGTTTAAGTGCTGCTGCATTGCGCTGTTGGTTAGACTTGCTTCTGGCTTGGCCTTAAACACTCGGGTTCAGGCTCGAGCCGCCCAGTTGCTTTCAAAAAAAATCATGAGCGGCTTGGTCATGGCTCGGCTCAGTCTCGGCTCCGTGGACATCCTGAGCCTCGCTGGGACCTTGCTCAGAGCTGGCTCAAGCTAAGCACGTGGCATTGAGCCGGCTCACTCGAGACAGAGCCAAGCCTGAGCCAAGCCGTGACGAACATGCTAAATTAATGTAATTGGGCGCTGTGGCGGCGAAATGTTAGCTGCCTCGCTTAGTATGCAGGAGGTCGTGGTTTCGATTCCAACCCTGTATATTTGGATTTTTTTAGAATCTGCATGTTCTCCACATTTTGAAAAATTCATTTCTAGTATTTGGCTGCTATAAATTTTCATGCAATAAGCCACTTCGTTCAGCTATCATTTGTGGCCAGGTTGCTTTTGAAAAAGAGCTATCTAGCTCAGTGGGAAATACCTGGTAAAATAAATAATAGTTTAAAACAATTTAGTTTACTAAGCATGGGGCTTAAGACTTGTGTATTGGCACATCAAGAGCTGTAATTACTTTTGAATGGTCACTATAGTCACTTTACAGTATACACTGAAAGAAGTGTGAAACAACACAATACTCTGCATTCGCGTTGGTTCAGTGTGGAAGTTTTTCCTGCTATTGCACAGTCTTCATTCACTATATTCTTTATTTGCATGACAAATACTCTTCTGTAATTTGAGATGGAAGACTTGTATTGCACAATCGTTGCAAGTTCGGGTTATTTGTGAATAAAAAAAATATCTTGTGCCCAATTTTCCTAGAGGCAGTTGTTTTGTGTTTGCTAACTTAATTTTTTGTTTGCACATACATCACATTAATTAGACGTGTTCGTGTTAACTGAAGTAGAATAACCTCATGGGACCTCCTTTGCCAGTACCAAAATATAATAATAGGGTTTTCTCCGTTTTTCTGGAAACAAAACAGGTGTTAAGATGTTAAAAGACCAAACTGAAACCTTTTACACGGAATCATGTCTGCATTAACCACAATGCTTGTGGTCAGAATGCAAACAAAAAACATTTTCTGATAATATATTGGCATTGTCCTTGAAACTGATTGGTCCACACCAGAGACAGCTTTCTTTTGAGCCTCGTCTCAAACGGTGTTAGACCAGAGGACGCCAAATGGCGTACAGCCCAAATGCAAAGGAGGTCCCATGATGTAGATGCCTCACCCCGAGCTCTCATTACTCTGATAGTGCATTGTATTTGGGTTAATTTCTCCAAGGCACTGTCTTTGCCTTGGAGAAATTAACGTGATGCAGTAGGGACATTGAAAAGTCAGCACCAACTTAGATTTCATTACGTTATTAAAAATAACTGTAGAAGTTCAAAGATATGGTGAAATCTGAAATTTAATATTTTAGTCAATTAGCCTATGTGTTTTCCAAACCAGTGATATTTAGTAGTATTTATTTAAACAAGCAAACTCTGGACCAAAAATTTGCCTTCATTGTTCATCAGCATAGCAGGGCTTGTTAAATAATAATGTGTGGGTTGCCAGATGTTAGTGGTACCAGCACTGTCTAAGTTTCAAGTTAAATTTGTTTAACCAGGTAAAAAGAGTGACCTGGGGCATTCATCTGCAAGTAGGGGGGAGGTGATGATTTTCTGTTGCGTGTAAAATCTCAATTGAGTAATGTGCAGGTCATTTTCGAATTGGGCAAACTTGGACCCAGACGCTGGTACAAAATTACCTACCCTTGGCTGATGACGTTGTGATCTTTGACGTCCACTGTGAAGCAGACGGCGTACGTACTATGCTTATTACATCCGCGGGAGTAATCTGTTCTACACGTAGTAGGCTTTTTCGACCAATATTATCTCTAATAAAGGTTTTTTGGGGGGGTTAGATTGCGTAAATATAAACGTGTCGCTAAACTGTCCAACATCCGACACAGCTAATTACTAAGGGTTGTCGCGTAAGTAAAGCATGCCAATTGGTGACTAGTTCAGCACACGGGTGTGTTGGAGAGACAATCCTCGTGGTTGCCTGATGAAGCTGGCTGTAATTGCAGACGAAACTTCACTACTTGAATTGTATATGTTGTCAGTTACTCTCCAACACACTGATGTGCTGAACTAGTAACTAACTGACAAACCTTACTAATTGGCTGCGTTGCGTGGTGCCGGTTTGGGTAAGGTTGTGTAAACACATGTATGTTTATGCAACCTTACCCAAAAAAAATATCTTATAGGAATAACCTGGTCGGCTACTGCATTCTAACCGTGAACCTCTGCAACAAGCGCCGAATGCACTGCCGTTGGACCCTATAATCGCCCTAACTCACGGAGCCCTCACCAACACACAAACTATTAACACCACTTGCACAATGGATAATAATGGGTAATATATTAAATACAATATGTAAAATAAGTCTGTTATCGTCACTTCCGATGTAATATATCTGCCCAATCTACACGTACTAGTTATTACGTCTTGGCAAAAATATGAACTTTAGTTAAATGTTCAGCCTATTTAACCCAATCATTTTAGGATCCACGATAATGTAATCAGAATATTTATTTATTTTGGAGGAATTTGATGAGCTAAAACGCTCCTTTTCACTGGTTATTTAATTTCATCCAGGAAATGCTCACTGACAAACTATTTTTAGAAGGGTCCTTTATATTCTTGGTTCTTTCGGTAAAGTCACGTAGAAAGGAAATGATAAAATAAGAAAAATATCAAACAATGATGATTGCTTGTGTTGCAGTCGAAACGTCGTGAGAATTTGATTGTTTTATATTTTTATTATGTTATTGTTTCCCTTCTACGTGACTTTACGGAAAGAACCAAGAATATGAATCCCTGCAGTCACGAAAGCTTTAAATCAAAATTTAAAGACCTTACCTTTGTTATATGGCCAAAGAGTGTTTTGGATGGGAGAGGAAATCGGATGATCTGGAGAAAACTCATGCATATGACAGGATAACACTAAAAAATCTGTACAGATGTAATCTTAAACTCGCATTAGGGGCCATTACCATATTGAAACGGCCACAGGAGAAGTATATATGTTATTTAATTACACCAGCAGATTCGACGTCACCCTCCCAAGATCGCTCCATGTTAAGCATAAATAGATATTTTCTATTCATGATGTAGATGAGAGCAGGTTTGAGAAGAAGCGAGCGTTTAATCAGTGCGTACTGCTACCTGCTCTGACACATGGTCATTAACGACAGATATAGAAGAAGCCTACGTGCTGAACATAAATAGATCAAAATTGGTTTTAAACGCGATTACTGTTGAATGTTCATGCAGTTAAAATTACTTTTCCTGGCAGGGTGGTACAGTGATAACACTTGTGTCTCACAGAAAGGACAGCCTGGGTTTGATTCCTGACTTGGACTGTGTGGAGTTTGTATGTTCTCCTCCCGTTGTATGTGATTTTCATGTGGGTTTTCATGTTTCCTCCAATAGCTAAAACAAATGTGCAATGTGTAACTCGTATCAGTCAAACATTAGGAAGCCACTGGAGCTGTGCACTTTTAAATATGGATTGAAAACTCATTTATTTCGAACTGCTTTTTGTGTTTAGTTGTCCGTTTAATACGTCGGCTTTCGTGACCAATATCCATAACAGAGGGTTTTTTTGGGTTAGATCGTGTAAATATATAAATGTGTCGTTAAAACCCGCCACCACCCGACACAGCCAACTAGTAAGGGTTTTAACGTAAACAGAACGTGGCCAATTCGTCACTAATACAGCACACCGTTGTGTTGGAGAGCCAAGCCACAACATTTAAATCTGAGTACGACGTTTCGCCAGTAATTATAACTAGCTTCATCAGGCGACAGCCAGATTTGTAGAGAAGCCTTAATTGTTTCGTTCCTGATATAGAGGCGTAGATGTGGTGGCCACACTTCTGCGCTCTTGCAGCAAAGTGGGGTGGGGGGATTAATGTGTCAACGTACATTATGCATGCGCATGATGTGAGCCCTTTGATCTTGTCCTTTGTCTATTGTGTATTAAAATAGCGTTCCAACGGTAATCCCTATTAAAGTATGGTGCCCTTTATAGGCATGCATTTAAATAATGTATTATTTGATTCACTTCCACGCAGCACTAAGGCAATAGCTATCCGAAAGTTTAAAATAATTTTTATTTCTTTAAATTTCGATAGATTCTCTAATTAGTCTTGGCCATCTTCTTTGGTTCTTTTGGTAAAGTCACGTAGAATGAGAATAAAATAATAAATTTATCAAATAAAATAACACGCTCCAGCGCTGTCCTCCAGACAGTCTCGTCCCTTCACCTGATGAAGGCCGCTTGTGTTGTGGCCGAAACGTCGTGAGAATTTTATTGTGCTATTTTATTTTATCAATTTCTTATTTTATTCTCATTCTACGTGACTTTACCGAAAGAACCAAAGAAGATGAATCCTTGCAGTCACGAAAGCTTTAAATAGTCTTGGCCAGTAGTCGTTAGTTTTGCACAGAACTTCAACATTATAAAAATCAATTGAGTGTCCTTGTTGGCACGTGTGTTCTGCTTTCCTTCACCCGCACCTTCGATTAGCATGGTTGGCTAAATACGGTGTAAAGAAATTCAAGATATATACAACATCTTGATGCTGAGGGAGCCTCCTTGAAGAATCGTCTTGAGACACGGTAAGGCTTTCCTTGGTGACCAAGTGTGTGGGCGCCACGGTGGCGAGATATGAACTACCGCCCCTAGTATGCAGGAGGTTGTGGGTTCGATCTTGACCCTGACACCTGTATATTTGGAGTTTACATGTTCTCCCCGTGGTCACGTGGATTTCTCTCCGGTTTTCCATCCACAATTAGAATCAACTTGCATTTAGAGTATTTGGCAGCTTTAAATTTCCACACGATAAGCCAATTTGTTGAGCTATCATATGTGGCCAGGTCGCTTCTAAAAAAATAAGAGCTGTATAGCTCAGTGGGCCTTATGTAATAAGTAAAAAAAAATTATCTTCACAATAATTCTCGTTGGGCACAGGTCGTGGGGTGTTCCTGCCGCCCTGGCGTCACGCGCTGCCCCACCTCGGTGCGGACGCTCCTGTCGATGCCGATCTGCTGGCCACGGCGCGATGGAGAGTTGACGTCGCCTGGCCCAGGGGATATCCAGCGAGGGGGAGACGCCCGCCCAACATGGCTCTGCACAAGAGGCAAGGTAGGTGGGGGATAACGAACCGGGAGGCTGATGATGCAGATTACTTTTTGTGAATTTTCATGATTCGTAGTTTCTGGTTCTATTCAAGGATTGATAGTATTTTTCTGGTTTGTGATATATCATTAATACTACAGGCAGACCTCGTTTAGTGCTCTATGTGTTCCTTGAGAAGTGGGCGCTAATTGAATCGGCATTAAATGAGGTCATTATACCATTGTTTGTATGGGGATGCGTTCCCGACAGCCTAATTTCATACGTATGAGCAATATGAGGGCTTAATTTGGGTATCGGTATCAGCGCAAATATTAATACAGATCGTAAACATTAGCTTAGAATTTCTTTTTTTATAATAACATCAATGAGTATTATGTTCAAAACTCACCAGTGCATTCTACTGTACTCCTACATCTCAGCGGTGTCAGATGAGGTTTGAGGAGCTGCTAAGCTCCCAGTCCGGGTCATTCTCAGAAAGAGCTCCCAAGAACCTCCGTGGTCTTAGCGATGCCCTCGGTCAACATTTCTGTGGTCAGGTTTCTTTGAGGTGGAGTCTGAGACTCCATCCTAGTCTCGTGACTTGTCACCTGGCTAAACGCACTTTAATAACATAGAGAAAATTAATTGATGTAGAAAAAATATGAATGTGACCACGAATTGTGATAATCGAATCGCCGGGTTAGTTGGCTCGGAGCAAACGTTGCTCTCATTGGCTGAATGAATGATGGCCGGCGCTGCTCACGTTCTCACTCGTAAACTCTTTTTAGATTTTTTGATTTTACTATTTTTTCTTTGGTAAACCAATTCTCCAGGACAAAGAACGCTAAAGCAAATCGGCGTTCTTATGGGGTTGCACTCGGCGTAGTCTGTCTCCGTCTTCAATTAAACTTTATTTCACCTTGTCCTGTTCGTCCAATGGCCATCTCATTTGCATAAATTCTTAAGTCTCAAGTTTCATTTATAAGGTATATCCGTACTATTCGATGCAATTCCAGTGAGGTTAACAATCGGTTTCAAACAGCAATAAATACTTACATGTTGAAGAGGTATTAATCTAGCATTGTTATTAGATTGCATCGTAATCAGAGGATAGTGACTCGCGAGTTAAATTTCCGGTCAGGAGTTGACTCGGCCCTCCATCTCTCTCAAATTCATGCGAAGAGTTCCACTTTAATGGCTGTCCTATATAGTCTGCTGCTCGCATTGGGAATGTAGACTTTCCATGGCTGCCAGTGAAGCCGAGGGCTTCCCGTTGCCTGTTTAATGAGACACTTTGGCTTGACTATTCCGCCCTGGAATGTTTCCTTTCATTTGAAGGACTCAAAATGAAAGGGAAAAATTCCTGTCCTGCTTAATCATGTCTGCATCCACTCCACATTTTTGCAAATCCTGGCTCACCACTTCTAGACCTGTCACTCTCGATCTCCGCCCTGGTGATTCCAGACATCTTCTCAGCTTACCCAAGATGGTACCACTAACCCCTTACCAACATGTCCAAGCTTTACGAGTCGACTTTCTGTCCATCTAAGATGGGGACCATTCTTTACCTCCTTCCTCCTGTTCATTTCTGACCAGATCTTGTCTTACGATTCCCGAAATCCATCTTTTCATACTTATTTCTGTGTTGCACATCTGCTCCTGCCCGAGCTTTTAGAGACACTTTGCCTTGATTGTTGTTTGGTTCTTTCGGTAAAGTCACGTAGAATGAGAATAAAATAATAAAATAACACAATAAAATTCTCACGACGTTTCGGCCACAACACAAGCAGCCTTCTTCAGGTGAAAGAACAGAACTGTCGGGACGACAATTGAAGCTCTATCGTCCCGACAGTTCTGTTCTTTCACCTGAAGAAGGCTGCTTGTGTTGTGGCCGAAACGTCGTGAGAATTTTGTGTTATTTTTTTATTTTATTCTCATTCTACGTGACTTTACCGAAAAAACCAAAGAAGATGAATCCTTGCCGTCACGAAAGCTTTACTGTAAATCGAAATTTCACTGTTGTTGTTATTATCATTGTAGAGCACAGTAGTGTGGTTAGGAGCGAGCCGTCAGTCACGAGGCGAGCAGAGCGGAGCGCGTGGGCAGACGCGCGTCACCACCCCCGGTTCACACGGGATCCTCACCAGCCCCACCGCCACCGATCGCTCATTGACAAATAAAGTGGCGTGTGCACACACACCGTGCTGTGACCTTTCCTTCGGGAGCAGTCGCACATCAGTCACCGGTGGGGGGGGGGGGGGTCCTTGCCCAGGCGAGGCCGAGAAGTGGAGATGCAAACATTAATTGGCGCATTGCTTAACAAGATTCCGAGGCTCGTGGTGCATAGAACCATGTACGCTTGCAGCTCTTTTGTCAATCCACTGCTGGATGAGGGCCTACCCCACGCTGTGCGGGTTGTGGGCGGGTTATTTGACCAGACTTCACCACGCCGATCAGTACGGGTTAGGGAAGGTGGGGAAGCATAACCTTACAGTACAACGATGGATTATTTTGCACTGCCCACTGCTACTTACCACGTGACCCCACAGCCTATAACAACCTGTCATGCGTGGATCAACCTCTGCTTGACTTCCAAAATCTGACGAGATTTTTTTCACGTTCCGAGTGATTTTTTTTCAGGCCTATGACATAGTAGAGCTGTCTACTCTGAAGCAAGGATATTGCCTGACATGTTAACCCATCATGTTTTTCTTGTTATGAGGCATTGTTAATTAGAAATGCCAGTTATGTGTTTTTTATATGTGCTGTTAGATTAAAGAAGTTAATGAAGAAAATGGAACAAGACACTGAAAAGTTAGCAAAAAATCATGGAGAGGTGCATGCTTTGAATTGCACTGAGAGACAGGAAGAGGAACACATTGATTAGAGAACAAACGCAGGTTAAAGGCAACGTATTGGCTTTAGAAAAACGACTGGACCTGCGCAAGACACTTTGACCAACATGATGTAAGCCTGTGTTTGAGACCAGCGATGAAGTGGCAGCCAAAGGAGTGAAACGGGCAATCCAATCACCTCCAGTGCAGGTGTTGTTGGGACGAGTTTGGAGAGGCCTTCATGCAACAGTGGATTGGTAACGTGTGACACCGACGTGCGGTGTACGTAGATGCGGTTTAGCTTTTAAGCGTGATCGAGCCCCTCACCCCCCCCCCCCCCCCCGCTGGCGTTTATCCCTTCCCAGTGTTCCTGTCGCCGGAGGTGGCGCGCTCCGTACTGCGCCGCTACGGCCGCGACAACGCATACCTGGAGGAGATGAAGCAGGGCAACATCGAGCGCGAGTGCGTGGAGGAGCGCTGCAACTACGAGGAGGCGCGCGAGGCCTTCGAGAACGACGAGAAAACCGTACGTGTGTGGGGGGGGGGGGGGGGGGCGGTTGTGCCCACTGTGTCGCCGGGGACACGGCGTGCAGGGAGCAAGCGTGGGTGTGCGGTCCGTTCTCCCGGAACGCGTCGTTTTCGTAATGCGAATTGTATGTAATGCGATGAACGTATTAGGGAACACGTCTTTTTTTTTATAACACGGATGCGAATTGGATGTAACGCGATCGAAACTAGGTCGCGCGAGTCTGAATAAGCGGTCATGCGGCTGCCTCGGCGTAGCAGGGATGCTGCTGGATGCTTCTAGACGCTACCCACGCGCCTCAGTCTTTGCCCAGCCTGCGTACGCATCTCACGTGTTATCGCAGACTGTGCTTCACGCTGTATTATATATTATAATGCGATTTATCCATAACGCGGCGTTATTCAAGAACTCCACTACTACCGCGTTATAGGAGAGCTGACTTTGTCTGGTATGCGCGGCTATCAGTGGGCACAGGTAGTGATCCCAGTCAACGCATCACACCTTGGTCTGTCCCGTGACCTGCCAGGGTTGCCTTCCTCAGTTAACGCCTCTTATTCTATCGTACGGTTGGTGTAGATGCAGAGCAGCGACTACAATTTCACATTCAGGTGGTCAAGCTAGACAACCGTGTTAGGGGCAGCGGCATGTATCGCTGTGACGGCTTTTTGTATATGTGGATTGGGCATTGTACGGTCTTCTCTGGATGACCACAGTGGCACACCAGAGTTTAAAATTTTACATTTGAGCATCAGGTATCTGTATCTGCTGCCATCGTTTGTGTAGTGTAAATATTCCACAACAATAACAGTGGATGCGATTTAGGGTGGACCATGGGCTTCGTGGAAGATCAAACCCACGGATCTTCTGTATTGGGTCTTGCACAAGGTATTTGTGACTTCTTTCAAACATACTCTTTGGTTATTTCGGTAAAGTCACGTAGGCAAAAAATTAAAATAAATTAAATTCCGACGTTTCGGGCGCAACACAAGCGTCCTTCTTCAGGTGGGGACAACTAGCAGGATGCTTGTGTTGCGCCCAAAACGTCGTGATTTAATTTATTTTAATTTTTTACGTGCGTGACTTTACCGAAAAAAAACAGAGTGAATCCTTGCAGTCACGAAAAGTTCAAATCTAGAATTCGTTCAAACGGTTTAACACGTACTTTCAAACAGTTCACGTGATAGCCTCAAAGTGCAACTAGCTTGAAATGAGCGTGTCATGAGTACGTGAGGGATTGTGGGTGTTTAGAGTGTTTCCATGGAGGGGGTGGGGGAGTGGAAATGTGCAAATGTGTCTGTGTGTGGAGGTGTTTGCTGTGAGCAATGCCATTTGTCAGAAAGGCTGATAATAATCAGCTATCACCCTCATGGCAGCTGTGTTTCAGATCTGCCTTCTGTTCACGAACATGGTCCGAGACATGTTTAGTTTCCCCAATGTACCTGCGGCAGCAGTTACATTGGGGAAACTAAACGACCGTGTTCGTGAACATAAGGCAGATTTGAAACACTGCAGGACCAATACTTCTGCTGTGGCTGATCATTACTTTAATGCGGCTGGCTCACATGAAATTGATTTCTCTAAGATGATGGTACTTTGCAAGCCGACTGGCTATCAACAAAGATTCGTTCACGAAGCCATCCATATATACAGACATGGACACAATCTCCACTGAGACGATGGTTATGAACTCAGCAATCATTAAAAAGATGTCATCAACCACTTTGGGTCATGACTTGATTTGTGCTGTTTACGCCGCAAGCCTCTTCTCCTCCCAGCTCTTTCCCCCGCCCACTCACTTTGGAAACCCTTCTAAGCAGTTGCATTTGGAGGCTTGCCCCCACTTTTCTTCCCCGCCTGATGAAAACCGCTTATGTTGCGATCGAAACGTCGTGGGTTTTTTTACTTTTATTATTTAAAATTGATTATTTTTCTTTTCTATCTACGTGACTTTACCGAAATAACCAAGAATATGCTTGTGACTTGTTCCGGTTTGGAAGCAGAGGACTCCGAATAAGTTGCGCGGCATGTTTTCATCAGCTGCGTAATGCTGTGTGCAAGCTGCCTGATCTGTCACTCCATATGAAGCTTCGGATAATTTCGACTCCAGTTATATCCTCCCTTTACGCTTGCAAAATGTGGACCCCTTTAAAGGAACTTCCGCACCAGCTCGAAACATTCAGACTGGCCTGCCTACAATCCATCCTGAGTTTAGCCAGGCTGGATTGTGTGAGGAGCTCGCTGATCCTTGAGAAATCTGGATACAGTCCCATCAGTGAGCTTCTATGGCAGGTGAGGCTTCATTGACTGTGTTATGAAGCCCACATGCCTAAGCAGCTTGTTTGGCTGGATAGAAGGGGCTGGACGGCACAGGAGGACCTCGAGCTGAGTGGAGTTTCTGATGACTGGTAACAGCTGTGTCAAATCGGCCTCCGTGGAGAAGGCTCGTGAAGGACGCTACTTGGCAGTTGGAGACAGCTGCCCTCCAACAACAGCTGAGGGCAGAGAAGCGACACTCACAACAAATAGTGGAGTGCTGGGCGGCTAAAACGCAGCAAGTTCGCACAGTGGGCAGCACAGATAGTAACATCTGGCAGTCTTCTCAGGATGTCCACCCAAACACCTGGGTCTGTCGCATGACCTCCGGTCAGCGAGCCAAAGTGTACCTCGCCTGGCACAAGCGCTGGGGTGACGTCGCAGCCAATTAGTGGAGAATGGCAGCTGTTGTACGTACAAGTGTGGGGAGCGGTAGTGTAATGGCTCGGCGTTCTGCGCCGTGAACTTGGGCTCCCCAATTTAGATTATCAGTGACTGAACCCATCGTGTACCTCCCGTCGGTCGACATGACCTTAAACGAGTGTGGTGCGGTGTGTCAACATCATTACTGGTGAGACAAAGGCGGCCAGGCGTGGTGAAAGCCACAATTCTCCCTTGCGTGCTGTGTTGCCCTTCATAGGTGCTTGTTAAGAGCACTTTCCCCAACGGTCTTGTTAAAGGCTGCACGGCGGGCGGGCGGGCGGGGTCTTTGTGCGTTGCGAGCAGAGGGAGTTCTGGATCGAGTACACGGCGGAGCACAAGGCGCCGGACTCGGATGGCGCCGTGAGCCTCTTCGTGGTGGTTCCCGTCGCCACCTTCCTGCTGCTGCTGCTCGTGGGACTGCTGTCGCTGTGGCGCTACCGCTCGCGCCGCCTCCCGGAGCAGTCGGAGCACCCCTCCCCGCTCGAGCACCAGCAGCACCGCGCGTACGAGCACGGCGCCGGCCTCGACTACCGCCTCCCGCAGGTGCCAGACCACGACCCGTCGGGGTTGTTGTGTAGGGCGCCACGGTGGCTAGGAGATGTTAACCACCTCGCCTGGTATACAGGAGGTCGTGGGTTAGATCCCGACCCTGACGCCTGCTGCTGTATATTTGGAGTTTGCGTGTCTCTCTCCCCGTGGTCGCGTGGATTTTTCTCCAGATCTTCCGGTTTTTCCCTCCACATTGGAAACACGCGTTTAGAGTATTTGGCTGGTACTATAAATTTCCACGTGATAAGCCACTTCTTTGAACTATCATTTGTGGCCAGGTCGCTTCTGAAAAAGAGCTGTATAGCTCAGTGGGCCTTACCTGGTAAAATAAAAAAAATGTTTAGTTTACCATTGGGGTGGACAGATTCCCCCCACCCCCTCCCCGTACATTTCTTTAAAATTCAGAACCTGCACTTTGCAGAAATATCCGGTGGACGTGTGAAAGACGAAGCTCGGTGATTACAATTGAGTTCTTCTTTGGTTCTTTCGGTAGTCACCTGAAGAAGGCTGCTTGTGTTGTGGCCGAAACGTCGTGAGAATTTTATTGTGTTATTTTATTCTCATTCTACGTGACTTTACCGAAAGAACCAAAGAAGATGAATCCTTGCAGTCACGAAAGCTTTAAATCGAAAAATACAATTTAGTTTCCATAACGATGGATGGCTCCGGCGAGCCATGTCCTGACACTCATCAGCAGTCCTGAGCCAGTGGTGGAAATTGTATATTCCCATGGCAGAGGCTAGTGTCTTCATAGAACGACAGAGTACTCTTAATCACCTTTGATCTGTGTAGGATAGTGTCCTCTCGTATCCGTGGGTTTTCTCTGCGTGCTCCAGTGTTCATCCATACCTATAAACACTCATGCGTCTCCGTGTGGAACATTGTAAGATGCAGTTTGCATGAATCATGCTATAAAAAAAAAACACGTATTATTCAAAGCTCGTACGAACCAACATGGTGAAATATGGTCAAATGACCCCTCTCATGCATCACTGAATTGATCAACAGGAAATGAGCATGGTCCCACACTCATTCGTGCAGGAACTATTAAAACTAAAACTTTTTTATGTTTACCATGTAAGGCCTACTGAGATATATAGCGCCTTTTTAGAAGCGACCTGGCCACAAATGATCGCTCAACAAAGTGGCTTATCATGTAGAAATGTATAGCAGCCAAATACTCTAAACGCGTGTTTCTAAATGGTGGAGGGAAAAACCAGAGGACGCGGAGAAAATTCCACACAACCACGAGGAGACCATGCATGCAAAATTCCAAATATACAGGGTCGGGATAAAACCCATGACCTCCTGTATACAAGGCGAGGTAGTTAACATCTCCCAAGTTGTGTAGATAGTTACTGGTGTGGGTATGTCACCGTGATGTTCAAAAGCGTTCCGGCACGGTATGCACTCACCTTAAGCTCCTCTTTCCCATAATTTGACAACTCTCAACGGCTCGCAGGCCACACATTGACAGATGGGCTCCCTTTTGTTAAACGCTGCTTTAAAAAAAAAAATCTTCCCTCAATACGTCTTTTGTCGCCATCTGAAGTTTCAAACAGCCAGCGTCGGCGGTGATCACCGGGCACGGCGTCGGCGTTTCGAGGGTGCCACGGGATTCCGGCCACATGGTGTTTCGTGGCTGTTTGTAACCCGAACCCTTCTCCTCGTGAGATCCTTCCCACGAGCGGCCGCTAAAAGGGAGCGGCAATGCAACCCCCCCGTGGTCACCGCGGCGGCGGCCCGCGCGTGCTATGCTAACACGTGCAAAGTGACACGCGGCGGAAGGGAGAGGCGTGGAAAGCGCCTACGCGCGTGCCAGCTCTTGACGCCTCCCCCCTGGGGTGGGCTGTGGGGGGGTAGGGCGCCAAGTCGAACTTTAAAATACGGCGCCCCGGCACGGATGGAGGCCCTCTCGGGTCTTCCCTGCCGCTTTGGCCACGTTGCCCCCCGTGCTTTAAGGTAGAGAGAGAATCGAGTCGGGGTCGGTAAGTCGCAACCCGTGCATTGGAGGAGTACAGAGGTTAACTTAGTAGGCATTGTACGCATTTGCCAAACATTGCACAGCACTCGCTCATGCAGGCTCATGGTTCCGGGGATGCCTTTGCTGAAAATTATCTTCCAGGGATCATCCAATCTCCAGTCACCTCTCCACCGATGTCATCCCATCGCTCGCCGGCGTCTTACACTTTCCACCCAATCTGTCGCCATCATTCTCTCTCACCATTCCTGCTCATAATCTCTGTTCATTATGCCTTCTTTGCCGTCATGTCCCACGCCTTCGTTTTCCTATTGCCAATTTGTCTCCCGCGCGATCTCTCCACGAGTATCACGCCATCACTGACGTTGCCTCTACTCTCCCATCATCCCTTCTTTCGACTCATCTTTTGTGGTCGTTCGAGACTTCCTCTCATCATCCTTTGTCGTGTCCTTGTCTTCTCTCCACGCATATCGTTCCTTCTCTCATCGCTTCACCGGGTGCCACGTCGTCGCTCGTGTTTCCACTTCCCTTCTCGTCAGTCTTTCTTTGCGGCCGTCCCCGTGGATACCTTTCTCGAGTCTCGCTAGCGTCGCTCGCGGTGTCGTCCCGCCGCTCTCCTCGGCTCCCTCGCTCCACCAACCTGGCGCCCCCCACGTTGCCCCGCAGGCGCGGGGCTGCCCGGCCGTGCTGCTCGAGGCTCCGTGCGAGGGCCTGCGCGGCCTCGCGGGGGACGGCGCCACGGCGTCGCTCGGCCACCGGCCCAGCTCGGCGTCCGTCGCGTCGCGCGTCTCCAACGTGGAGCCGCCGCCCTCGTACGAGGAGGTGACCGGCCTGGCGGCGGCGGCGGCGGCCGCGGCGGCGGCGGCGGCGGCGGGGCGCGCCGCCAGCCCCACGCCCAGTGGGCCGCCGCCCGCCTACGACGACATCATCGTGGGCGACGTCGCGAGCAGTCCCGTGTCGCCGCTACCGCGCAGCGACAACGGCGACGACGACGACGACGACAAGTGACGCCATTTAGCCCCTCCGGTAGGAGCGCCGTCGCGGTCACGGCAAATCGGACGAGACCGCGCGCTCGTACACGTAGAGACGTCGCGCGCGGTATTACCTTGTAAATATATTGCTTTCGATAAGAGCGTTTAATTGTTATGGCTTGGGTTGTAATTACATACAAACCTAATAAAAAAAAAAGGTGTTTTTTTATTTTCATTATTCCAGACGTCTCCCATATCTGAGAAGGTTCTCCCCACAATTAGTCTGGCTTCTGGAGGTTTTAGTGTATTTAATTTTTTTTATGCACATTTGTGTGTTTGTGCGAGTTTATTTGTTTTGTGTGCGCACATACTCTTGTGTGTGTATCTGAGGAGGGGGCGGTGGTGCAGCTGTTAGCGCGCTGTGCTTTCAAACCCGGTGACCCGAGTTAGATTCCCACTCGTGGTCAACACTGGTGACTTTTATTTTAATCGGTCAGGGGCCTCCCCGAGGTCGACTCAGCCTGAAGTGAGTACCTGCTGTGGTGCGTAAACATCGCCACTGAGGAGACAAAGGCGGCCGGGCGTGGTGCTGGCCAAGCACCCCCTCGTGTGCCATTCTAGCCTTTTATAGGTGCTCACTAACAGCAGTTGCCCCAGAAGTCTGTCAATGCTACACGGGGGACCTTTGTCTTGTCCGAGTATATTGGCGTATCTTTTGAGAGTGTTTGTGTATGTGTGCATGCCGTGGTTATTGTGTACAACGCTGCTCTCAAAGGGTACCCATGTGGGGAACCGTTGGACTATTGTGATGCCAGCTCGCACAAATCAGTGGGGCATCGATCAAGTCTGGCATGGGAATGTGGAATTTCTAACCGCTAGAGGCCAGTCTCCACACAATCATTGATTTTTCAAGTGGTACTTATGCCATCGGTGTGATACAGGATGACCAAATAATTCTTTAATGTGGCTTGTCTTGCACAGCATCGTGTAGTCTTCACTGGAGTGTTGTGAGCTAATTACGCTGCATGTATTTTTTTACTCAGACTGTGCTCTCACATCGTGGACGGTTGGAATTCATCACAACTCTTCTTTGGAAAAGCACAGCGGGCCGTCATTGATGTCCGGCCGTACTCTCTGTGGTCCCTCACCACGCAGTTTGACCGGGCTGTTGAGCGGGAGCCCGGATTGTGAACGGAGGAGCCGGCTCTTGAGAAGCCACCAGCTCACGTCGCTCACCAATCCGGTGTCGGCAACAAATACAAAGCACGTCCAGAATCCTGCTTGTGCGTGCGTGTGCGTGCGTGCGCGTGCGTGCGCGTGCGTGTGCGTGCGTGTGCGCCGAACGAGGCGCCCTCGTGCTCAACACCGCCGCTCAAGCGCGAGCAACACCAACCGGTGAAGGAACTGCGCGACACCACGAGAGTACGTCGACGACCGAACCCATGCTGTTAGACTTGCAGAGTGAAGAATTGTGTAGTTTGTCTTTGAGGTTACAGGGACATTGCATGCACGTGGTCTGTGTCCTTACATAGACAGTGTGTTGATTGAAACCCTTTCTCTCCACATAGTCCCCTTCACGTGCAGTGCTCTTGGTTCCTCGGTGTCTCAAGGCTTTAAGCTCTGCCCGGAATTGCTGCTCAACCGACACGTTTGTTGCATGCATTGCTTTCACTATGCCATTGCTTTGTCTCATGTCAAGGCGGTCGTCGCCAGGTCCGGTCAGTTGCGAGTTCTCTATATTGTTACCGATTTTTTCTTATTTCCATGGATTTTTTCAGATTTTTCTTCTCCAATTTTGAGGTTAACGTGCACATGATATTTTCCGTGTACCTGCAAAAACGAAATGAAAGTGATACTTGGCAATCCTTTTCGCTGAAGACTCTCACACTCGGTTGTAGCACCACTCCTGTGTCATGCCACAGACGTTTGTCTTTTCCCTCGTAGCTGCTGTATGGACTGAGAGGGAGGCCGGATTATTGATAACTTAGTAAATGCTTGCGAGCAATCCTGAAGCTTCGAAGTCACACACGTCCAGATGCATTCCCAAATAATGCCTTTCTTGCTTGGATTTTGATTGGTTTAGAGCTGGGACGATTTGTGCTCAATTACTCAGGTTCCTTTACACTAAACTATTTACATTTTTTTTACCATTAATGAGGGGCCCCCTGACAACCTTCATCCTTCCGAAGGTAGGAAACCCCTTACAAGCGTGACGCGACCGACGATACATATATCACCAAACCCACCCCGTCACCGCCCGTCCAGCGGCACGTGGAACAGATTCGAGACTCCCCCCCCCCCCCCCCCCCCCAACTATTTTCACGTCCAGTTAAGTAGAGTAGTCGTGTCTCGTAATTTCTTCGATAATCCGACATCCCGGCACCAAAGAGCAAAATCGGTCGCCCGCTCTCGGCCAGGGCTGTCAAACTTTTTTTTCCCCATGACGTGCGACGGTGGCGACCGCGTCAATAGAAGCCGCAAGGATAGCAAACTCGTCGTCACAACTGAGCTTCCCATGGCCGGCTGTGGGCCAATTACCCATTCGGGCCAGAAAGGGCCCATTGGGGGTGGTGGAGGACCTCAGGAGAGTGTTGAGCCATTCCAGTCCAATGAAGTGTATTGAGCTACCCATAAATGAGGTGATAATACTTTTAAGGAGTAGCTATGGTCACAATATTGTAAAACCAACTCGTCCTAATGCTGTATTTAAGACGAATCTGGTGTGAATATGAAACTCCGAGTTGACCAGATGCATTTCAACGTTTATATTTGACTATTGGTGTTTATGTTATAAATATTATATTGAAGTTGGTCACTTTTAAGTACGCAATTGTTTTGCTTGACAGGAGGGGGGTCCCCCTCCATCTGCTGGCTCCGTCGCCTCTTTGTTCAGGGCGACCATTGTGGGTCACGTTATTCTCTCGCACGTTTGCTGGCTTTCGTGTCGCCTCCTGAAGCCGGTGCCGCTCACTGGTGCCGCGTTTTAACCACCGTGGGCAAAAGATGGAGAGCCGCAGATGACGTAATTCAGGAAACCCTAGTTTGATTCTCGACAATGTGAATTTTGAGTGCTTTGTTAAATAACGAAGACGAATTTTTTTTTCACGCGGGTCCTACCTTGGCATTCATCGCAATATAATGTATAACCGGTGGGTCGAATGCGATGGGAGGAGCAAACCCCATCACGGACGAGGGGATAACAAAGCACCGAGCGGACAGGTTGGCAAACCCACTTGCTGTACTGCCATCTGGATACACTCCAGCACGGCTGGTTTAGTCGTTTGACAAAGCTGCGTGATCCACTAACGCCCACAATCCATTAATTTCAGGGCGGAGTTGGTGGATCGCACAGAGATGGTGACATGCGAGGAGTTTCAGCATCATTTCCCCGTGTGCTTTGATTAGGCTTTCTTCTCCAGATGCACCGGTTTTGTTACGTGCGATAAAATATAAATGTAACAATCAAACTGGCCACTCATGCCAGTGTGGGAATCTCGACACTGAGGCTTTTTCTTTTCTTAAAAATCGAACAGAAAAATTATTTTATTTCAAACCAGGGGAGAGTAGATTCAGACCCCGCATCTCTTCAAAGGAGGCCTGAATTCAAAGGACGCATGTGAGGTCACGCCCCAACAATTGCTTTCGTGTGTGTCTAAAAAATATAAGCTACGTGTAAAACGTTCCACGCCCGTTCCTATCGTGCGTTTGACAGTGGCCAGGTCCCCCCATCTCCTGCCGAGGGAACAGGGAAGCCGTGGGTAGAATGTGACTTGATGGGGGTGTGAATGTGTGGTCTCTTTATTCTCTGTCTGTAGATTTAAGACCGAGCAGAAGGATGTGTTCTTGAAGACTGCTTTAGAAAACGTTAAGACTCTGCTACATATAACACGTTAGTGAATGTAAATTAAGTTGCAACACGTGTAAATACGTTTTGTAAATACCTATCCTCGTGCTTGTATCGCACACATACACAGGTTTACATACACTACAATACGAGTTTTCTTTTTTACACTGGGATATTTGTATTTATTGCGGCGCGTCTTCAGGTTACATCATAACCGCCACGCAAAGGGAACAAATCGTGAAAGGTGGCCCGGTTAAAGCTCCCCAGGGGTGGGCTAAGTACCAGGATAAAACGTTGGGTTGCTGTTGGGGGTGAGTGATTCAATTTGGTTCGGGGTAGAGCTTAGATTGTTATTGGTTAGCCGGGCTATGGGTAGTGCTTGTGTTAAGGTCTGTTTTTTTTGTTTGGTCATGGCTGCGGGGGGTGGGTAGAGTCTGGCTTGATAGCTAGTTTGATTCGTGCTAGGGGATATGGCTAGGATTTGGCTGGCTAGTGTGCTTAGGACTAGGGGATGTGGTTATGGTTTAGTTGGCTAGTGTGGTTAGGACTAGGGGATGTGGTTTAGTTGGCTAGTGTGGTTAGGACTAGGGGATGTGGTTTAGTTGGCTAGTGTGGTTAGGACTAGGGGGTAGGGTTGGGTTTAGTTGGCTGGTGTGCCTATGGCTCGGGCGGAAGGGTTATGATTAGTGGGCTGGGGGGTAGGGTTAGTTGGCTAGTGTGGTTAGGGGTGAGTGCCCGTCTCGTGTGCGAAACACTCTTCCCCTCCCGATTACCAAATGCAGTCTTTTAATTTGTTGTCCGTGTTTCACACTTTTGATGTTCGTAGCGCTTGACCGTGAACTCTGGCGTGCGCGGTGTGTCGCCTGTCTTAACGGTCACCGCTGTGAGAAACCAAAGTGCGTGGTTATTTTGACGAGGGGATGGAAGTGGTTAGTCCAGGGCCTCCCGACTCGTGCTCGCTTTACGCGCAAACCCCCAGTCAGTTCCTTCGCATTCGTTTTGCAAAATAAAGATTGTCGCACGTTGAAATTTTGCCGAGTAATGCAACTTGTGATCCGATTTACGAAAGGCGGGTACCGGTAATCCCGTGTAATATTTGCTACATTGTAAGTTGCGGTATTGGATTACCCCCGGTTTATTTGTCTAACATTGGATTATTTTAATGTTAAAGACATTTCCGAGAACAATATAGCTCGAGTGGGGAAGTGATGCCGTTGACGTCTTGGGTTGACTTGAGGACCAGCATTGACCAACGCTCGCAAGCCACGCCGCACAGCCTACGGTCGCAGCGTGATACTGCTATGAAATCTGATGGCGCGACCGGACACACGAGTGTGATATGAGTGACGATAAAACTAATCAATCAGATTATCGAATGCAGGATCACGTTACGGGCGAGCGTCAAGTTCGTAGGCGGACGCCGATTGCATTTGAAATTGCTGCCCTCCACAACCCCCGAGCATTGCTGACAGATTGACACTTGGATTGGTCGAAGTGAAAACCTGGAGCGTGGGTTGGGAAGCAAAGTGCGGAATGGAGTTTTTGGAGGCCCTGGGCTGTGAGCCGGTGCACGCTGAAGAAGAAACGGCCCGAGCTGCGTTGCTTGTGGCATTGCCGCTGTGTGTGGCCGATTGTGCATCGAGTTTGCGTTTCACCGATAACATGTTTTAACACTTCCTAATGTTAATTTTTTTTTGTTACAGCTGAATTGAGTAAAAGGTTTTTACCAAAGTTTTTAAGCCATCACTGTGAAGGCGTGTCCGCCATGCAAGCTTACTACGTAATCACTTCAAGAACAGTCTAATTACGTGCGACAAAACACTGCCATTGCTGGTTTAATGAAGGTCCAACGCTGGTTTAGTCTCACCCTAAGAGTGTTTATAAAATGTAGTTGGTTGCAAATTTGGTCAAGGGTAGGAATCTCCCCGGTTGCATGGGCCACCTTTTACACAGAGCCGACCCGGACATATTTCTCAGTCGACACTAAATCTATCAAACCTGTTCTGTGTACCGTCATAAAGTTCAACGCAATACCAGAACCAGATCTTGGTACAAATCAAATTCCTGCCACCCGAACACATGCCAATTCCCAACTTGTGAGGTTAAACCCAGAACCCAGCAAGGTGGCAACTCTACTCCCTGGCACCGTATTTTCTTGCTCAGTTGAGTGTCGAGTGGAGTGCTCTCTTGGTGGCCCCAAGCTAAAGGTGGTGGTTATTCTCCATTCCTCTTCACATGGGAAAACCTCTGATGATTTCTCATGATGTGCTGCTGATCGAATTGACCCAGGAGGGACTGCTAATGATGTTGGGCTGAGTTGACCCCTGACCAGAATTTGACCTTGTGACTGCCAGTGGGAGGATAACCTCTGTCCAGTGCCACCTGGACAGGATGTAACATGGACTTAGTAGCATCGCTGCATGCATGCTCAGTCACTGCCATAGCAAGCCTCGCACTCAAGGTAACGCACAGTCAGCATTTCACAACGGTTGGTGCCTTTTGTCAATTTGCGTAAATAGCAATGGAAGAAAGTATAACTGCACTAAATACAACAATGAGCTGGACTGCATTTTTATTGATGTTTAGATTCCCGCGTGGAAATGTGACGTGGATCGAGTGTAATTGTTGTATGGGTGGTGGGCACTGACTCACAACGGACACATTTCTGAAACCGAGTGGCATTTAAAACGATGCATTTGTAAATGAAATAAAAACAAATCACTGTGGTTTGGCCAAAAAAATCCAGATAATCGATGATTCCAAGTTTGTTCAGTGTTGAAAGGTGACGTTTGAGTTTTTCCACTCTCACTGTCTATACCCTACATGCACGCGTGTGTATGTGTGGTATACGGTTCGTATAATTTCGTATAAAATTACAATGCCGTGTGTTGCCTGCTTTACGCGCTTGGATAAGGTAGCAGTTGAGAATAGCGGTTGATTTTTGATTTAAGCTTTCGTGACTGCAGTAATTCATATTCTTAGTTCTTTCGGTAAAGTCACGTTGAAGGGAAACAACAAAATAATAAAATATATAAAACAAAAAAAATTCTCACGACGTTTCGACCATAACACAAACGGTCGTCTTCAGGTGTGTTGGTTTGCATACATTTCTTTTTAAAGGTTTATTTATTTATAAAAAAAACGTTAGCGCCACGCGCAGCGATTTGGCAGTTTATTTAGGACTAGTCCATCTATATTCTGAAAAGAGGAGGGGGGAGACGATTTTTTTTTATGTATGCTGTCTGAAAGCCACTGTAAGCGTGAACAATCAATTAAGACCTGAAATGGTTTATCAAATCTTTCCAATGATTGCTAAGATAGAATCCATCTTCTCGGTTGAAATTGTCTCTGTGCTTGTATATGTGGATAGCCTCATGAACGAATCTCTCATGGTAGCCAGATGGCTTACAAAGAACCTCTGTCTTGGAAAAGTCAATGTCATGTGAGCCTACTGAATTATAACAATTATCTGCCACGGCCGAGGTGTTGGTCCTACCGTGTTTAAGGTCTGCTTTGTGTTCACGAATGCGGTCCGAGACATGGCGTTTGGTTTCTCCAATGTAACTACTACCACAGTGGCAACTTAGTTTGTAGACACCAGGGTATTGTATGTCCGGAATCACATCTTTTACAGACGGAACCAGATCACGGATTTTATGTAATGTGTTGAAACGGACCTGGATCTTGTGTTTATTCAAGATTTTGGAGATCTTTTTTGTGATCCCCGCAATGTAGGGTAAAGTGATGGTTTTGAAAGGCTCCTCAAGAGGGTCCTTCTTCATGGTTTGAGTGATAGCTTTGCGGATTGTATAGTCGGAGTAACCATTAGCATATCCGACCAGGAACACATAGGCAGTGAACTCAAGCACGTACACCAAGCTCTTAAGGCTAATGGTTATTCCGACTATACAATCCGCAAAGCTATCACTCAAACCATGAAGAAGGACCCTCTTGAGGAGCCTTTCAAAACCATCACTTTACCCTACATTGCGGGGATCACAAAAAAGATCTCCAAAATCTTGAATAAACACAAGATCCAGGTCCGTTTCAACACATTACATAAAATCCGTGATCTGGTTCCATCTGTAAAAGATGTGATTCCGGACATACAATACCCTGGTGTCTACAAACTAAGTTGCCTCTGTGGTAGTAGTTACATTGGAGAAACCAAACGCCATGTCTCGGACCGCATTCGTGAACACAAAGCAGACCTTAAACACGGTAGGACCAACACCTCGGCCTTGGCAGATCATTGTTATAATTCAGTAGGCTCACATGACATTGACTTTTCCAAGACAGAGGTTCTTTGTAAGCCATCTGGCTACCATGAGAGATTCGTTCATGAGGCTATCCACATATACAAGCACAGAGACAATTTCAACCGAGAAGATGGATTCTATCTTAGCAATCATTGGAAAGATTTGATAAACCATTTCAGGTCTTAATTGATTGTTCACGCTTACAGTGGCTTTCAGACAGCATACATAAAAAAATCGTCTCCCCCCTCCTCTTTTCAGAATATAGATGGACTAGTCCTAAATAAACTGCCAAATCGCTGCGCGTGGCGCTAACGTTTTTATAAATAAATAAATACACCGTTTAAAAATAAATTTATGCAAACCAACACACCTGAAGACGACCGTTTGTGTTATGGTCGAAACGTCGTGAGAATTTGTATTGTTTTATATATTTTATTATTTTGTTGTTTCCCTTCAACGTGACTTTACCGAAAGAACTAAGAATATAATAGCGGTTGATGTTTCTCCCGCTATTGAGATCTTGCTGAGGAGATGAAGGTGGCCAGATGTGTTACTTGCCACCAACCCCCCTTTGTGCGCTGTGTTGGCCTTCATCGGTGCTGACTTGCACCGAAAGCTTCTGTGCACTGGACGAGAGCTATTTTGTCTTTTTGCCTCTTGTCACAATGGCTTTTTCTGAGGAAGGATATTTTCCTTAAGACATTCGGCCAATATTCTTGGTCACAACTCGGGCTCTGGCTCAAGTGAGTCGGCTGAAGGCCATGCGCTTAACACGGAGCCGAGCCTGAGTCAACCCACGGCTGAGCTGCTCGTATGTCGTCTTAGCAACCAAGCAAGTGGCTCAAAGCCTGAGCCGAGTCTGAGTGGTGAGAAGCTGGAACCGTGGCTTAACAATCCGGCCCCAAAATAAATGTACACATTTGTCACGTGGCATTTCTCGTGAGAATGACGGCGACCTGCATTAAACAAACGCATGACGTGAGGTATTGGGCGTAGTTTAGCTTTTACTGGTAGGAAACGTAGTGGATTGGAAGCCCAACCGGGATTAATTCTCACAGGAGGCAGGGGATTAATTGTGTATGTCTGTGGATGTCTGTCCACGTGTATCCGGACACCCGGATAAAATGGGAGGGGTGGGGCTGGATGGGGAGGGTGGGGCTGGATGGGGAGGGTGGGGCTGAATGGGGCTGGGTGGGGCTGGATGGGGCTGGGTGGGGATGGGTGGGGCTGGGTGGGGATGGGTGGGGATGGGGGGTGGGGCTGGGTGGGGATGGGGGGTGGGGCTGGGTGGGGATGGGGGGTGGGGCTGGGTGGGGATGGGGGGTGGGGCTGGGTGGGGATGGGGGGTGGGGCTGGGTGGGGATGGGGGGTGGGGCTGGGTGGGGATGGGGGGTGGGGCTGGGTGGGGATGGGGGGTGGGGCTGGGTGGGGATGGGGGGTGGGGCTGGGTGGGGATGGGGGGTGGGGCTGGGTGGGGATGGGGGGGGTGGGGCTGGGTGGGGATGGGGGGTGGGGCTGGGTGGGGATGGGGGGTGGGGCTGGGTGGGGATGGGGGGTGGGGCTGGGTGGGGATGGGGGGTGGGGCTGGGTGGGGATGGGGGGTGGGGCTGGGTGGGGATGGGGGGTGGGGCTGGGTGGGGATGGGGGGTGGGGGTGGGGATGGGGGGTGGGGCTGGGTGGGGATGGGGGGTGGGGATGGGTGGGGATGGGGGGTGGGGATGGGTGGGGATGGGGGGTGGGGATGGGGGGTGGGGCTTAGTGGGGAGGGGCTGGTCACCCCGTGGTGCCCTTATAAAACTCAACGTTTAATCTACTCACGCCGGATTGTACCCGCCCTCATAGTCGGGCATATTTGCGGAATACACCACGCCGCCGTTGTTCCTGGCCATTAACCGAGCAACCCAACGTTCCTACCGTTATATTAAACACTCACTCCGTATGTTATGTCACGCGCCATTAAGTGAAGGTGCTCTATATAATATACATTAGGTTGGATTTTGTAGGTCAGGGGGACTGCACTCGCTCCCTCTCAACTATCCAGGGCCAGGAGCCAGAACTCGCCATCGTGAGAGGGCCCAGGGAGAAAAGTTGCGTCCTGACAGACAGCGATGGGTGGCCTCAATGAAACTTGTTTCGCTTCAAGATCCCTTGCAGTGCAATGCAATTGGTCCATCGTTGACGTTCCGAGGCTGCAAACTATACCCTGACGATGTTATCCGTGTGCTGGCGAGCGTCTCGTTCCATCCAAATGTGACAAATCGTCAATGCCGTGTACGTTGTGACCGTTTTGTCAAGATGTGAACGTGGCCCTTAGTCTTGTCAAAGTACTCTGTGACAGCACGCATTCACTTCACTGGCATTGTACGACTGCGTTCCCTACAAGCAAGCTTTCAACTGTGCACGTTACTAAGAGCCACGACTCGTATGGGGCTTTCTTCAGATTTGTGTGGATTTTGTCTTTGACTTTTCTTCATTGTACACTCGCTCCATCGATTCGTTACTAGTACAGCACACCGGTGTGCTATACTAGTCACGAATTGGCTGTACTAGTAACAAATTGGCATGTTCTGTTTACGTGACAAACCTTCCTAATTGGCTGTCAGGTGGTGGCCAGTTTAACGACGCATTTTTTATGCGATCTCACCCAAAAAAACCTCCATGATGGAAAACCAATTGTCCATAACACGCATCGCTTCCCTGTAGCTCTAAACATTCCTTCTCTGCAAAGTGATTCTCAAAGCGTGGAGATGCACCGGGAGTCATATCAAATACGTCGAGAACATGACTGTTCATCTCACTAATAAATAACACATTCATTAGTGTTGGTACCTGTCTGGGTTTAACCCAGAGAGTGCTGGAATTGGCATCTGTGTCCAGGTGGCAGGGGTTAGTTTGTACCTTGATCTGGTACCAGTCGTGCCGTGAACTTTATTTGCAGTAACATGCAGTTTTGATGTCGACCTATGCCAGACATCGGCAACCAAAATAACAAGATCATTTGTTTTCGAATTCGGTCAAACGCAATATTTCAAGAGCCGCAATGCAATGCGAAAAACGACACGGCGATCCTTAATAAATAACTGCCACTGAGCAATAATTAAAGAGCCGCATGCTGCTCCAGGTTGCCGATTTTTGACGTAGGCTGACTGAGAAGTCTCTCTGGGTTTGGTCGACAGTGGGAAGGTGACCAGCCCTACCACGCGCTCGTTGTTGTGGCTACACTCCTACTGCAGGCTACAGGCGTTCCAATCACCCCTCTTGCATCACACCAGAGATGAACGCTCCTTCCAGACACAGGCTCGCTGCCTCATGCCGAGGCAGTTACCTACAGCATCCCCACCCCAATTGAATCAATCGTAACGCAGCATTGTTAACATTCATATGAACACACTTAATATGCGTACATATATAAGAATATGCGTGTGCTCAACTGGTGATTCGTGGTTATAATTTGGCGTCGGAGCACTCCCAGCTTGAGTTTTACAA